ACAAACGAGTAATAACAAGTTCAAATAGTTAGGATCCCGCCCCTCCCAAAAATACATGTTACCAAATGAATATTTGTTTAAACATTAATTAATTAATATTTGAGGTCAGACAACACACGTTTCACCATTAAGAAATTTTCGTTAAGTCTCCCAAATGATGTAAGTAATGCGTAGTTACGTAAAAAATTATTATGTAAATTCCTCGGTAATGTGCTGTTAGGAGCTGTATTCGCACAGTTGTATGATTTGCTAATTAAAGTGTACAAGGTAGAATCTTATCATTAGATAAATAATAGTTTCAAAATTACCTATTCGCTTATCTTCGGAAACTAGTCTAATTCCTTAAACCTCGAGTTTTGTTTTCATTAGCTCAAAAATTCTGAGTCATCAGTTGTGCTCGCACAGAAACAAAAATAATCTTCTTCGCAAAGAATTATTTGCGAAGAAATGTGATTAACATAAATGAATTGTTTGGAACGTTTTTACTGACGATGTTTGGAGGCTTACAATGTAGTATTCGCCATTACATTTTTTTCTTATGTTTTCGAAGAAATCTAATCCAACCCCTTCTTGATCGTCTAAGGTTTTAGAATTTAACGGTTTAGTGCAATTCAATGACAAAGTAGAAATGCACCATTTTGTTTAAACGTGTCAAATGTCAGGCAAATTGTACGATGAGCCACTTTGCGTAAAATATATACTTATATTCTTTGTTTATTATTTTTCCCCTGGGACATGAATCACTACTAATATTTATGTCAGGAAGATTATTTTCTTGATTCATTTTAATATACGTGACATGACTTAACGTACAAAGGCGCGTCAGCGCCCTTTCTTATTATTATAATTGGTTGAATACCTTCCTTTTCTTTGAGACCTCACCCAATTAATTTTCAACATTTAATTTATAATTGTTTTATTTTACCTTGACCTGTTGGCTGGCAAGGCCCCATTTCAATAAAAGAGTAATGTTGCGCTAAACGACCATCGATCGTTGGATTGGAACAGCTGTAAATGTCGGTGACTTCCGAGTACAATTGCTGCAAGTCACTTTCATTTTCTTCTTACAGATTTGCAATGATGCGTTTATTTGTGATTAGAGAAGTGACATCGTTTTTCGCCTCTCGAGGCAGCCTGAATATACATTTGCTTAGTTGAAACCATGAACCGTTTTCCTAAAACATTTACGTACATGCTGGAAGCTCATTGTTACCGAAATAAACATATAGCAGTCGTCTGAAGAGGGCACCACAACTTTCAGGTTGAACCGTTTTCTTTTCCTCTTTCTTTTTTCTGTTTTAATTACTTGTAATCGGAATTTCGTCATTTCCAGGCTTATATCCTTAAGAGACACTCGACAAAGTGTAGATTTTGAACAACATCCTTTCAAAGAATCGCACAAATACGTCTCTCCTGTGGTAAAAATATTCAAGCTTGTTTTTGGAGCATACAGGCCACATATTAATCTCTTGGAATTGTAATTGATTAATTTGCGACCACGTTGGCTAATTGCCTTGGGCACAAAGTTAGCTTCAAGGGTGCTTCACCATCAAGAAGAGGTCATTACAAATCCCTGTCTTTACAGAACGTCACCAGTGTGCTCTTATAATTCTGTGAATGACCTGAAATATTTTCATGACACCATCTGATGGGACAGTCCTATGATATTAATACTTTGTTGTGTCCTTTTAGCTTACTAATGACACTTTTTGGTTAATTTCACATAGCAACAGTCTCCAAAACAACTAATTTAAAAACCACCTGGCCCTCGCTAAAACAACGTCAGTATAAATTTGGTTAAAGTACATGGTTTGTGGTGGCATGGCGCCTTCCTTGTGGTTTAAAACAGGCGTGAAGTACTCATTCTGTGTGTTTTTTCCTTTTCCTTTTTTTTTAAGTATAAATAAGTTTGAACAAAGAAGGAGCTTTAAACCAATCCAAAGGGACACTTTTTTGCGTAAAGGCAACCTTCACATACTAGAGTAGTAAATCTTTTCTTGGTTTTTGTGCCTCTTTGATCTTCCTGCCGTTGGCTATTTTGGCCAAGAGCTGACAAACTTAAAAAGGAAGTGAGTTTCTAATCTATAAGAGATTGTTGTGTTAAGTTGACAAGCAGGAAGTCAAAACACTTGCTTTGTTGTGGCTTCAATAAAGGTTATGTAACATCAGAAAATTTTGACTATGGCTTAAGGCTTGCATTAATTTCTCGAACATCTAGCCACGTGTTAGAAATCAAAACATAGTGCACCTCACTGAACAACAACACAACCTCAGTTGTTCATCGCGTTTTATATGCTTAAAATGGTTAAATATTTTGGCCATATTTGACGCTAAAAATTGGAAAAAAAAATACTTAACTTCTACAGTCAAATATTTCAAAAACGCGACGCCATTTATCTTTAAAAGTGAAAACTCTTATGAGAAGAGAATTAATGAAAAGGTTTGAAAACAGTCACGAATTAATTGGTTATACTTTAAATATGGCATATATTAATGCAACTTCCATTCCAGTCAGTTTGGCTTCTCGGTAACCTTTCGAAATACTTTTAACCCTTCTAGAAGTTCTATGGTACTCTGTTCTTCTCAAGTTTAATCCGTGGGCTTAAAAACAAAATGATGAATTAACATATACTTTCCCCGATGCAGTTTTGTACCCTCTATACCGTTCACTCCAGCTATATTTTGTATGGATTGAATAGCAGTGCAATTTCAAATCACTTGGCATATTACAAGTTCAGAGGTTTTCACGGATGTGCTTTTTTCTCACAATGTTAGCTCACTGACAAGCCAACGAACAAACTAGACTATGCAAAAATACCGCAACAAGGATCAAATCAATAAGGTTTAGTTGTATTATAACACTGTTTTTAAATCGGCTTAAGTGATATAGCTTTATACGAAATCCATAGGAGAGAGAAACCAGAGTGTTTTAACCTCAGCACAACCCAATATTAGTGACAGATCTTAAGTGTGAGCTTGAACTTACTTCTATATGTTATTTTGTTATTAATATTGTAAGAATAATAGAAAGCTTTTAACCCCCTTGGGAAGTTCTTAAGGAAATCACGTATGCGAGCTTGCTGTAGTGAGGGCAAGCATGTCTTGACAGAAATTGACAGATTGATTCTCTACAGAAGAAACTACAACGTGAAACGTAGATCTTAACCATATGAGTCTCAAAAAAATCTGAAACATATTGCCTTTCAAGCCCGGTGAAGTACTTTTTTACTACTTGTGTCGAGTCAGTTGCTGAGTTGCCGTGACTAGTACTAAATTGATGCTAGAGAAGGAAATTAGATAATGACCCCTTTTAGATCATTTTGAAATTAAACAACATAAAAGTTTTTGAAAAAGAGTTTATCTTGAAAAAGAGTTTAACCGTTTTCTTTTAAAATTAGACAATAAACAGTTTATTGAAGCAATGGCATTCAATTTTATGGTTTCTGTCGAATAAACTCCCTCCTTTCAATTGTAGGTTTAGTTTTGATGATATCCGGTAGCTTTATAAGAAATACTCTACTTTTAAGGTTAAGAGAACAATATTTGCTTTAGGTTTCCGGAATTCAAAATACTCGTACTTTAAACCAACTTGTGTTGGCCAATATATCCTAAACAGGACGACTTTGCTGCCCTAACTGAATAACTGGCCAACTTCAATGGGCAGATTGTTCCGTTGTTGTTTCTTCTTGCCTTTCTTAGTTCAAGTTTTCTGATTAAGACTCCCTGTTTATTTAGATTCAATTCTGCTATTACACTTGCGATAATGCTATCGATTTGTTTAGTTTGTGTAAACTTCCGTGACATATTTTGAATTTATGATTTGACGATACCAACTTTGTATTAGCTTAAATTATTCACCAATATCGCTCCTTATCGTAAAACATTAGTTTTCTTTTACAACACACGAACTTCTTATACCCTCTCCTAACTCGAATTTTCCTATTTCGTTAAGTGTTAAGAATCACAGAACGTGTTTATTCCATCCTGAACAGCTAAGATAAAGTAGTTCTGTTTAAATTTTGCTGCCTTCTCCAGTTTTGGTTTACACCGGTCTCTCCATTGCGTGAGGCGACGACCGCACTCCACTGAAACCTCGCTGCTAAGTCAAAGAAGGATATTCCCATTAGAGTACGGTCTCATAATATACAACTTATCCAGGAGAAATTTTTCTCGCTTAAAATATTTTTAACGTTGCATATTAAACTTCGCTTATCTTCTCAGGGCTCGGCTCAAAAATCCGGAAAGGTGATCAGGCCAATCATGGACGGGAAAATTAGGCACATTTTAAAATCCATCAGAATAAAGATTTTCATCAAATTTTTCACGACATATGGGAGAACACAAAACGAGTTGCAAAGAAAGCTTTGTTTTTTTTAGTTTTAATTGACAGACTTATAATTTTCTAGACAATGAGCTAATTAAACGGAGTAAATGAGTAAAAGATCAAAATATACACACTTTTTAAAGTACTTGTCACCTGCAGCTTAACGATGTTGCTTAAGGGTGATAAATAGAACACCAACGAAGGGGATTATAAGGAAAATCGTTGGGAGACTACAAACACGCAAGCCAGCCTAAACAATTCACAGAAAACTCAATAAAACCTAATCTGCTTTTCAGCTGCAGCTAAGACACAAAATCAGGTTAAAAAATTGTTTTTGCTTAAACTGCTACTCGCAAAACATAGAACGTTAGATGCTACCCATGCGTGCAACGCAAGGGATCACATTCTTTCTGCCTCTTCAAATATAAACGCTATAAATATTCTTCGCATGTGGTCATAATGTTACATTTCCCACGATTATTCTTTTCGGGTCTAGAACAAAAGATCGCCAAGGCACTGTATTGGCTTGGTCACGTGGCACGTTTGTCGAGCGCTTATAAGCGTAGCCGATTTTGCGACAAACAGTATAGCCTTTACTGAGAGCAACTAGCGAACAGTACTTAATTGAGATATTAGCAAATTGTGACATAAGTACAGTGTTACCAACACAAAGAAGATGTCAGCGTTCAGTCCTGTTTCCTGCTATGCGGAGAAAGCGTCCGATTATTATCCATCTGCGGTTCCAGCCGTCAGTACTGTAACTTGGCCCAGTGCCGTTTCTCCGGCCTATGAACTGTCACCGTGGTATTCTTGGGGCTTACCTTCTAAGTTGAACTGCCACGCGCCTCCTACTCCAGCCGCTGTCACTGCTTTGGATTACACAAGTCTCTGGCCCACTGTGCCTTCCATCGGAAGCTGTGGATTCTTCTTGCCTTCTGGAAGTTCCCTGGTGAGATCCTACGAGAAACCATCCCAATCATACATCGGTTTAATTGCCGAAGCGATCCTTAGCTCTCCGGAGAAAAAGCTTGTTCTAAGCGACATTTACAGTTATATCCTGACCCGCTACCCGTACTTTAGAACGAAGGGAAGTGGATGGAGAAACAGCATTCGTCACAATCTCTCGCTAAACGATTGTTTCGTCAAGGCTGGTCGAAGCCCTAACGGCAAGGGACATTTCTGGACCATTTGTCCTATGTACTACGAAGACTTTCTGCATGGAGACTATCGCCGGAGAAGAGCTGGAAAGGTTGTGAAATTGGACTTAAAACCAACTGAGCGCCTTTTGAGCGACTCTCATCGTTATTTCGCTTTCTTTAGCGAAGACCCAAAGCCAAGTGTAGCTGTTCGACGCGAGACGACACCCCCGAGATACGAGGAACGCGATCGCGACGAAGTGCGTTTTAGCCGAGAGGTGGAATGTGATGACACGATAGATCCTTCTCAGTCCCCCGATCACGATTCAGCAAGGAGAAGAAGCTTCGATGTTCAGAGCTTATTATCATCACAAAATTAGTGGACTATAGAGGACTGAATAAAGACTTGAATTGGCAAGAACATAATTTATATATATAACAACTAGATTATGATAATTTAATTTAACGTATTCAAGCTTCTTTTCTTATAGTTTGTAATCAGATAATTGTCTTCTCTGAATAGTTTTTATCCATCATTCCTCAAAGAGAGAACCTTTCAAAAAGTGGGAAAAAACAAGTATCCGTTTTCTTATTTGGAAAACTAAAACAAAACAACCTAATTTTGGATTGCGTGCGGAAGAATGATATTATCACATGAACTCAACTTGAAAACCGCAAATTGCATTTGTTTATGTAAGTTTAACGATCGCACGTATTGTTCCTTTATTTCAGCCTGTTTCAGTAATAATCATTATTTATAGGGAGAAAAATTTTGTCAGTATCACAGTTATATCACGGTTCAAGGGATACTAAGAATGTAGGGGAAATGAAAATAAAACAATTGACTTCCTAAAAGGTCTTGACGCTGTTTGTGTTTACTAAGTTCAATATAAGCTTAATGGAGACGTTATATGCGACTTCTGCTTCGTTATAAAGCAGCTGATGTTTTCCTTTTTGAATCGTGACTCAGGGCCATGACGAAACTGCTGACAACTGCCCTTTTGTTCAGTAGCTACTATAGCCACTCAAGTGATAAAATAAACATTTTAGCTGTACATGATGATGCTCTTGACGCACACTGTTCGAATCAGTCATACATTTCAGGTAAAAAGGTTAGGACTCCTTTAACGGTTCAAAAGGCACAAATAAATTGACATTTTCAAAAGATTCATAAAGTTGAAATTTCTAACCATCTTTGGCCAAGCATTTTTTTGACATCATTGCGAGATTCGCTTGCAGCGGGAAAAAATCTTGAAAACTTGACATCGTGCATTATGACTAAGGAAAGGTTTTGACTCGCTTTACTTAATTCAAAAGGCCCAAATAAGTTGACATTTTTAAAGATTCATGAAGGTAAAATTTCTTGTTATTGTGAGATTCGTTTGCAACGAGGAAAAACTGACTTGAACACTTGACATCGTGCATCATGGCTAAGATAAAAATTGGGGTATCATACAGTACTTCATAACTATTCAAAATGGGAAGATGCTCGATCATTACATAAACAGTACATCTCACACATTTCATGTGACATGAGTCATAAGAGTGCTCAAACTTGAAAAGGATAAATTAGAAGATCTTGCGATAAAAAAAATGTGCGACTGTGTAGCACTTATAACTGAATAGGCTGGAACTTGTTATAGTGAAAGCGTAGAAGAAGATTTTGTAAAAGAGAGCCGTGTGGAAGCATTACATCTCAAAAAAAAAACTAAATATAAATTTTGTAATAATCATTAAACGAAAACAAAGGTCTTTAATCGACAGTGGACGAGAATGCTAAAAGGAAAAAAGTTTCCAAACTAGAATGCGCATGCTCCATTTTGTGAGGTTAGCATCGTCAGCAGCAATAAACGAGGAAAGCAGCAGCTTTCTAGAACAATTTACTGGATCTCTCATCCAAGGTTGAAGGTACAGCAAGCTATTTGAAATAGATTCTGTGAGTTTGATTTTATTCAGTGTCATGCGTGCCTTAGGGGGTGCAGATTTGACTGATGAAAACGATGAACACTGACAATATCGACTGTACTCTTGATTGAGCATATCAAAACGTGGACTATTACACTAGGCTTTTCATAAAGAATAATTGTCTGTATGACACCTATCAAATTGAGCTTGCACTTCAATGTAAATTTGTTTTCCACCAAGACAACCTTTATTTCTTAACATTTTATAATTCAGCTTTTTGTTTAATCTAACGAAAAAGGCCTCTATTTTGTTTTGCCTACCACACAACAAATTGTTGGCTACGTCTTAAGTTAAACTCTAAAAGGAGGAAGGAGTTAACGAGGGTGCTCGCGTGTCTTTGCAGAAAAACTAGAAACTTCCATCTAGCCCTTACTATTATATGGGGCTGATGTTTACACATATATTGCGGCTTAACTCTTTTTAATCCGCCCTCCTCAAACTTTAGCAATATACAAGGTTGATCTTACACCATGCAGGTGGTGAAACTTTAAAAAAGGGCGGAGAGAATAGAAGTGCATGTGAGTACCAGCTTAAGAGTGCCGTTTAACGAGCTAAATGAGAATCCCACTACGCATTGAGCGCGCATTAGAGAATGAAATCTGCCAAAGTGTGAAGTTAGACCGTACCCTCTTGGTTTATACCAGAAACGGGAAGTTGGAAAGTTGAGATTTAGGCATCAAAGCTTGACTACGAAACGATAAAAATCAGGCTTTCTTTTTCAGTGTCGTAATGTAATGTTCATCAAGGCAGTTAGGTGTGTGTATCCAATGCATGGCTGATATTTGTCGTTACTTTGACCATTTACCTTTCTATTCACATGTTCCTCTAAGCTTTGACCGAGAGTTCAGTATTTTGATGTCGGCAACTCTTGAAGAATTGAAGGGTGTACTTCCCTTCTCCCCGGCTGCTAGTTAATTCCCCCACGGCTACAACCACCTCCGTGATAAGGATGTGTTTTGTTTAAGACCGACTCCACCAGGAGGAATTGAGTAATTTTGATTTTCATTGGAAAAAACCGTGTACAAGAATAATTTAAAGAATATTGCATTCTTTTTTGCATTTCTTAAGGGCTGAAGATGTAAGTAGTCATCTGTAGTAACACTAAAGAAAATTTCTTACGGTAGCCGAGAAAATGAATGTCAAATTTCACAAGGATTGTGAAAACACAGGTGAAATTCTGAGAATTTCATGTGTAAGATGTCATTTTCAATTGTAAAACTTGACATTCGCTTTCTCAGGCTTCCATAAGAAATTTTCTTTGGTGTTATTACAGATAACTAATTACATCTATAGCCCTTGAGAAATGTAAAAAAAAAATGCGATATTGTTTAAATTATTCTAGTTCAAGGTTTTTGTCCACTGAAAATTAAAATTACTCAATTTCCTGATGGATTCCGTCTTTGTTAATCTTTTATTGTTTAAGCCCATCTGCAAAAGATGATTGCTGTGTTATTTTCAGTAGAAATATTATGATGAAGACTTTTCTCGCAACGTTATTGCATTTCTAATGCATCTTCCTTAGTTGAAAAAGTTTTTTTAAATTTTAAAAACAATCTATGTGAACAGACTTTTTCCTATCGGGCCCACGCCATCATACATTCAATCGCTAATTGACATCATTCTCCATTACGGCAAACTCACAACCATGAGGTGTTCAGTTGACTTAGAGCAGTTGCGGATCGCCGAGTTTCACGCTACATCTCAGTAATTTAATCCAGTCAAGCTCTCTTTTTCTCTCTTGGACACTGTTTTCATTCTCTGTTCTTTATCTTGTACTGAAACCGCAACCAACTCAATACCTGAGTATTCTCTAATAATAATCCTCAAAGAATCCCTTTGGATCTGAATTATCTAACGTGCGGTCCCTTTGCGTCATCTCTCTAAGGGGCAATATAAGGGACCTTTAAGCATCAACAACGGCGAAGTTGCACAAAAAAGGAAATTTTGCGCTGCTTCAAGCTTCCTCGCTCAATAATTAGTCTAGTTTATCGTTTGTCTCACTGCAGGTCTTCATCAGGGCGGTAGTGTCGATCTTATTCCTTCTCGTTCTTTTTCCAGCCAAAAGTGTGAGTTGAAAGGCTATATCTAAGTTCAGAAAAAGAAAAATTAAATCGTTTCCTCGTGTTCACGTCCTTCATAAAACACGTTGTGGTCTTGCAGCGACGGTAAAGAAATGCACAAAATTCGTGATGCACCTGCAGACTTGTTGCCCTGTTAATCTTAAGCTACTGCTTTTTTGCTGTTCTTGTCGCCGTCGCCGTAGTCGTTGCTGAAGCTCCTTTAAGTCCAAGGCGGTGAAGCCTCAAGCATTTTCCTTTTTGCATTTATTAAATCAGGTTTGTTTACTAGGGGTGTAAAGATGCAGAGCAAGATTGTATATGTAGTTACCTCGGATCAATCTCGTCACCTCATCTATATCACACTTTCGTACCGCGTTATTTCGGCTTACCGTCGAAATTGAATTCTTTAATTACAATTACTAACCCTATCTCTCAACATTCAAACATGTTATTTTTTTGGTAGTATATTTTAGTGTCAATAAAACCTGGCAAGTTAAGGCCGAGAAAGTTGGAATTTATAATGAAAAAGAAGCTTTCCAGAATAGCCGTCTAAGAAAACAAAAATCAAGTGGCGGAAATGGCAGGGAAAATGAACCACGAAAGGCTCAACATTACTTTTAACTTTGAACAATAGCTTGAAAAACTGGGTGTCTTGAAGTTCAATGGAACATCAGGTGAACTTTGAGGCAACCACTGGAAATAACGTCATCATTGTAATCAATGATATCATAAACTGATTTTAAGCAGTCATGCAAAAAAGTGTGCAACAAACAAAACCTTATTTTTAGAATTGGTGGAAAGTAAAAAGTCGAGAAAGGTTTTCAATTTCTCTTCCTTTTTCTTTTCACTTGTTTGCAAACTCTTTTAAGTGTATCAGCAAATTTCATTCATAAAGAATTAGGCAAAACAACAATTAAAGCGTGTTATGAGATTAAATCAGTCAGGAAAAACATTTTAAACAAATATCGTTCTTTTCATTCTATTTTGCAAACGCCATTTAAGATATTGTTTTCAGAAGGAATTTAATTCTTGACTTATTATTTATCATTAGAAGGAGGAGCTGTGGTTTTGTTTGTTTCACTAACAGTCTTTTAGACGTAAACTCGACTATTATTTGGTAAAACAATAGACCCTGACGTACTGTGGCTCCAGACGTCTGTTCTCAAATTATCAAGGATGAAATAAACCATGCTAAAGGCTTGATAAAAAAGCAAGCGTAGGCCTGACGTAGAAGCTGGGACCATTCTTTGTTCTGATCACGCAAACGGAAACGTCTTGTTAGAAAATTAACACTAATTACTTCGTTGCCTGGGACAAAATCCGCGGCTGCCATAGAAAGGTTTCCATCTAAAGGA